CTGCGCAATAGTTTTTACACAGAGCAGCCCCAATCCTCCTATTCTGGGGTCAGTCTCCCTCCGGTGCTCCTGACTCCTTCCCCTTTCTGAGTGTCCCTATAGCAAGCTGCTTGCTCTGGGGGCACTCATGTGGGTGCAATCACGAGGCGGGTTCTGTGTGTTCATTGATACATACAGCGCAGCTTGGTACTGCCACAGGCTTTTATTGACATCAGCAGCATATAATGGCTCCCGCTGATGCCTCCATGTCCAGTGTCTATAGACAAAGGGAGGGTAGCTCGGTAGTGAGCCCACAGGTGCACCCCCATATCAAGCAGCTTCCTCTGGTGGCATACCAAGAAGAGAGGGGCCTGGAAAACCAATGGGGACTGTAGAAGAGGAGGATCGGGGCTGCTCTGTGCAATACAATTTCACAGAGCAGGCAAGTATATCATATGTATGATTAAAAAAATATCTTTACAAACACTTTAATAATCATTCTGGATAACTGCATGCACATCTTAATTGACATGGTACACATAACATACTGTATACATGATATTTTGGTAATGTCTTTTTCAGCATTAAAAAATATATAATTACCAATGCTTTCAGTATGTTTTCACTCTTTTATTTTGTCTCATATTTTGATTCACTTCCTGAATAAGGCATAATGAAGTTTCAGGTAGTTGATGTAATGTGATGTAAAGGATTGCATTTACACTTCTTCACTGTTTGTTAATTATAAAATATGAACTCCAGGTAGATATAAAATACACACAAATTAATGCATATCCATTTTTAATACATTGAAGCAGTGGAAGTACCTAAAGTTGAGCTGATATCACCCTCTGGCAATGCACTGTACAACAAAGCTCAGACTGGGAGGACCTCATGGGGCCCCAAGCCATTTTTTTTTACAAAAAATGACAATTTCTGGCAATTTTTTTTCTTTCTAAAATGTTAGTTTTGTACATCCTACAGCAAAAATAACCCCCTCCCTTCTGAACCAAACCAGGCCATTCACTCTCAACGTGGGGAGGGTACATTGCCAAGGGAGACCCATGTTGATGAGGACAAGGGCCTCTTCCCCACAACCTTGGCCCAGTGCTTGTGGGGGTCTTTGAGCAGGGGGCTTAAAAAGTAAGGGAGCCCCTGAATAAATCCCCCATGTATATGAGTAAGGGGTACACATCTGAAAAAAAAATAAATTCACCACCAATTTTGCTGTCCAGCAATCACAATGAGCAATGCCTGCTGAAGCAAAGAAAGAAAAATATGCCAGTTGCCAAGACAATTCACTCCTGTCACTACTCACTGGTTGACAGATTCTCGGCTGACAGGCGAATGTAAACAAAGGGATGGAGATGATGGCTTAAGTCATGGCCATATTTGGACAGTGATAGGCACCATTACCCTCCCTTTGTTTTTTTCATTCACCTGTCAGTTGAATGGGCAGGGTGGGAATGCATCACTGCTTACTATGAACCTGGTGGTCACCTGCTCCCTCATAGCCAGCCTAAGCTGAAAGATGTCATATTTATCAGTGGTAGTAATACTGTTGCTAAATGTATTACTTCCCACTGCAGATGGTGGTTCAGATTGCTTTTTGAGCAAACACCAAATTTATTTAGCTTGTTCACCAACATTTGGACAGAATTCTAGTTTGCTCTGAATCTGAAGCTCATCCATAGCTGTGGCCACTTCTACTTATTTATCTCACAGTACCCCTTCCAGGAACAAATTGTCTGCTATGGAATATCTTACTCTTAACATTACCCAAAGAAGTAAGCCCAAGAATTCTAAACAGAGACCAAGTTTCCACTGCTTGCAGACATACATTTTATAATCATTCATAGCTCTTGCCACTTGTAAAGTAGAACTGAAGGCGAAACTTTTTTATTTTTTTATTTTCTATAAAGTAAGGGAAGGTTATAACTACTGTCAGTTTTTTTACCATCTGTGTACCATTGACGAGATTCCCCTTCATGTCCTGTCCTGCAGCTACAAAAGAAAATGAGAAGAAATCCCTTCAAATTTGGTCCTTGGTAGTCACCAGGGTCACCAAAACTAGTGTCATATTTGGAGGATTTGCTCTTTCTGTCTGTTCTGATGACTAGTCAAAGTTTGAAATTTTCCTTACCTTTCACTTTTGGTGATAATAGCCACTATGACACATAGAAAGGGTGAATATCCCTAACTGGGAAACAGACAGCAATAAAAACCCTGACAGGTGTTCTAATCCCTTTAGAACAAAAAAAAGTTCAGCCTTCAGTTAAGTTTTAAAATGTCAACTTTATAGGGGAAGCATGGTGGCTTAGTTGTTAGCACTTCTGAATTTCAGCATTGGAGTCCTTGGTTCAATAATGACACTATCTGCATGTTCTCTCCATGCTTGCTTGCATGGGTTTCCCCTGGATACTCCAGTTTTCTGATACACTCCAAAAATATTCTGGAAGGATGATTTATTTCTGTCTAAAATGGTTCTAGTATGTGTGTGTACGTAGGCTTAATTGATGGGGATCTTAGATTGTAAGCTTCGTGAGAGTGATATGAATGCACAGTGGGGTAGATTTAAAAAACTGGTTCACTCAGTATCTGGTGCATCCGTGCATGGTTGCCAATCAGCATCTAACCTCAGCTTGTTCAATTAAGCTTTGGCAATAAAACCTGGAAGCTGATTGGTTTCTATGAAGAAGTGTACCTAATTTTGCACTCTACAGCTTTAGTAAATAAACCCCAGTATGTAAAGTGATATGTAAATTGATGGTGCTATATCAATGTCCCTGTAATAAATAAATGGGCACCCTCTGTCCCATTTGTCAAAATTAAAACCTTTCCAGTGACATTTCTCCAAGCTAAGCCACAACAGTAGGTTGAAGATCAATAGATGAAATTGCAACCTCATTAATAATATAGAAAAAACTTCAAAGACCAAATCTAATTTAAATTATAATAAAAATGTATTAATATCACAAATTTAAATGCATTCAGAAAATGTATTTACCACAACTGTAGTTACAGTCTGTTGTGGTGCATTGCAGGTCATGAAGATTTAGATTAAACTAATTGATCAAATGAGAGTACAAGTATATTGTTACAGTGCATGCAAATGTGCTAATGAATGTAAAGTTGTCATGTAACAATTATATAAATAATATAACATAAAATAGAAGTTTAAATAACATTATATGTACTACTTTTGCTTCTTCACACTTAGAACTAATTCATTTGAATGATTATCATACTTGACATTATGTACCTAAAAGCCCTTATTATGGGAGCAAAAGCAATCTAAAACCCATCCCTGACAAGACTTCACTGCTGGAAGCCTAATTTCCAAAATGTCAGCCAAGGCAGAAGAGCCATTTTCTGTATGCACATTAACTGTGATAAATCCCATCAGAGGCTCCTTCAGATTTTCAGTGATCGCTTTATACCCACAATGCTTAAATAAGGTTAAGAAAAATATGTAGAAACAAAAGAGAAAACAAAGCAATATGCATATATGGTTGCAGCTTATTAAATGTGATATTAAACATGATTTAATTATATTACATGGTACTTATAATTCAAAGTGAACGCTAGAAGCAAATATCCTTTTTTATGTATGTTTATTACAAAAAGAAGCATTTCAATTTTAGATTGTTCTTAGTCAGGGATTCTTAGATATTAATTGGCCAAGTATCACCTTTATTTATGTCTTTCCCACTGGGGTTAGTGCAGGATCTATGGACTAGTTACACACAGCTATAGATTTCAGTTGTATCTGGTAATGCTGCTTACTGTATCTCTATGCTTTCTTAATATCTTACAAGGTCTCTGGTGAGAATCCCAGATTTTGCAGTGTTCACATGCCTTTTGAAAAATTCAGTATACAAAAATTGTTTCTGTCAAAATGGCCAGTAGAGCCCACATATGTGGATAGTTTCAGATACTGGTTTAATTCACCATGCCAACATTAAGTGCCTAAAAGCTGTTACAATGGATTTCATGTGCCCATATTGTCATCCCCAAGATGGTAAACCTTGGCTTATGCCATTAAGTGTGGAAGTAGGTAAATCTCCCACACTTTGGGAAACACTGTTCTAATATATGGCAAGGGGCATTCCACCCACAAATGCTGCATAATATGTTTATGTCATTTCTAGAGATGAGGGAGCATTAGGAAATGTTGTGATTCAGCTGCATCCTCTGCTCATTCTGCTAGGTAAATATTCAATTCTTACCACTTGACTTCTTCCCTCATCCTCACCACTCACAAAAGCAATATATTCAAAATGAGCAGACACCCTACCCCTGTGTAACCTACAGTTACCCTACAATGTCCTTGGGATGCTGCTTTCAATGTCACAGCAGGTAACAGAATGAGAGTCCCTGCCCTCTGTGACCTGTATCAATGGTATCAGTTTGAGATGCTTCTTAGATCATTTAGAATTCATTTGCACATGCAGTTGATCTCTTTACAACGTGCATTTGACCTGCTTTCAATAGGTTTTACACATGGATGTGAATGTCAAACATGCTTGAAGAGAACAAAAGCCTGTGGACACATGCCTTTAAAGTGTCACTAAACCCACATCATAAATGCTTTATTACATGCTGTTTATACTCACTAAGTCACTATGAGAATTATTTTGTGTATTCTGCAGAAATCCAGGTGTTCCCTATCTCCACCCTCTGTCCGAGTACCCAATTCAGGTGGGGATTTTGCAGAGCAGTGTTGGCAGTTTTCAGTGTGTTTCTATGCTGAGCATTCCCTCCCTATTACATTTGAGCAGTCCTTTTGGCTATAGAGTCATATATGTGGCTGTAAAAGACAGCCCACACCCTCCCTCCTCCTCCATGCCCACTAACCAGCCAAACACAATGCAGTGGGATATTCCATGTAAATTGATAGAGGCTTCGCCTCCCTCTTCTTCTATGACACAGGCTAGAGGGGCATGACACAGCCTGTGACTGGAAGATGACAATTTAAAACAGTTTATTGATATTAATTATATATTTTTTTACTATGTATTCCAAAGGCTGTTTTATTTTGAACATATGACCAGCAGCAGAAGACTAGAAGCTCCTCCTACTTACCATATTTTTCGCTGCATAAGAGGCACCTGACCATAAGACTCACCTAGATTTTAGAGGAGGAGAACAAGAAAAAACATATTCTGAACCAATGGACTGCAGGCATATTACAGGAAATGACCAGAGAGTGCTGACATAGTACAGGAGATGACCTGAGACTGTGGATATAGTACAGGAGATGACCAGAGACTGCTGACATAGTACAGGAGATGACCTGAGACTGTGGACATAGTACAGGAGATGACCAGAGAGTGCGGACATAGTACAGGAGATGACCTGAGACATGCGGACATACTACAAATGACCAGAGAGTGCGGACATAGTACAGGAGATGACCAGAGACTGTGGACATAGTACAGGAGATGACCAGAGACTGCGGACATAGTACAGGATATGACCAGAGACTGCGGACACATTACAGGAGATGACCAGAGACTATGGACATAGTACAAGAGATGACCAGAGACTGCAGACCTTTGGGGAGTGGGGGGGGGGGGGTACCCACTCTCACTTCCGTGGAGTTGTCCTCCCCGTAATCTTGTTGGACATGTGACAGGTCCCAGAAGACTACAGGTGGCCATTCACAAAGCACAGCGCGTCTCACGCATGTGCAGTGGGCACCTGGCTGTGAAGCCGCAAGCTGTCATAGCCGAGTGCCCACACTGAAGATTCCGGTGTCGGGGAGAGAAGACGGCCAGTGAAAGCAGGACACCGCTGGACCAAGGAACAGGTAGGACCGAGGAGCAGGTTCTTCTGCACAGTAGAGCCGAGTGGCCGGCCCGGTATTCTAACACGGCGGCGGCGTGAATAACGGGCCAGCCGCTCCATATTCTCTCCATAAGATGCACAGACATTTTCCCCCATTTTTTGGGGGGGAAAAACGTGCATCTTATGGAGTGAAAACTACTGTATGTTTCCCTGCAGACAGGCTGGGAAAGAGCTGGGTCATGTGACAACTGTATATGGATTAGGAAAGAAGGTATTTAGATTTTTTTAAATTAAAATAATTATAGTGCCATCATCCATATACAGAAAGAGAAGGGACTATGCAAATTAATCAGTGTGTGTTTAGTATTACCATAAACTAGTGGGGATATAATTTACTTCCTTATTAGCTCCTAGTAAGGAAGCATAGTACTTTTTAACTAGGGCAATGCTATTCCCCATACGTTTCCTTGCTTTAACCAGCACAAACTTTACTTGCTTTCCTCAACTATTTAGTATGATAGATATGAATATGAAAAATATAAAGAATACAAGTGCCTCTTCTTTCAGTTCTTAAGCGATGAAAGTGATTAATGATAGGAAGAAACAAAAGGTTTTTCTACCACTGCACTGCTTCTTTTCTGGGGAGATGTTGGGATTTTTGGAAGGCTAATGAGGATCAAAATGTACTGCAATATTATTTACAAAAGCTGAAAATGGGAAATGCTGCCACCGAATAAGGCTTTTTAAACCTTCTTAATGTCATGGCCATCAGAAAGCAATGGAAAAACTTATTTTCATGCAACACTGTGCTAGTACATACACTTTTTAGTTATGCTGTTTGCAACAAATAGCACGCCTACAATGTGGCTTTAGGCTTGGTTCCCATCTGTGCAGGTGGTACTGCACAAAACTACCTGCAGCCGCACCACCCACACAGTGGACTGCAGACTCGCAGACGGGTGCCATTAATTCTAATGGCATGCAGCCCACACTGGAAATCGCAACTGTACTGGGAACCTTGGTTCCAAATGAATGGGCTCTCGTGCCTGCGCAAAACGCGGCCTGCAAGGCTGCACATATGTGAACAAGGGGTTATGGCATCTTGTTGTTCAGTAGTACCACACTAATAATAGTTTGCTGCATGAAGATGTAAACAAACTATCATTGCTAATGGATTCATTTCTGATGCAGGTTCCATAAGCATATGAGAAAATAAAATAAAGATGCATATTATCAATAATTAAAACAGCAATATAAGAAAATAAAGCCAGTCAGTAAGCTATTAGTGGTATCCACCTCTAGACAGCAGTGAAAATTCTTGTTATTCTTTCAGTGCTAGTATGAACTCCTTACTGAACTCTGTTTGTTAAGTATTCCTTATAGTCTGCAACAGGAGTGGATCACAGGTATGAATAAAAGGGAGAATTCACATCTAGCTTGAGGTGATATTTTGGCATATTGTAGTGCCTGCTCACATATTCGGGATTACATGATTCATCAGATGAGCAGCAACATCAGGTGACCAGCAACCTGAGACTTTAAATAGCAATATGATTAAACAGACCCAAGTAATAGCAAGATGAAGAAAAAAAACGCTTAGTGTTGTTGCCTATATGAATCTCATAAAGTTTTTGAATTGACTTAAAGGCTATTTTTAAAATGGTATTAAACCCAAAATAAAAAAAAAGATGTAATATATTGCAGCTTACTGATCATTAGATGTGGTGGCTGCATCAGATTTATTTTTTAGGCTCTGTGCTCACCTGGTGACCTGGCCTGTAACATGCCTACTGTATTAGAGTGCCCCTAATCTTGATGAAGGAGCAAAGGGGAGCACCTTTGGACAGCATCATTGTCAGTATAGGAGATGGGAGTATTAAATGCACTAACAGGTTTATATGGATGTGAATAATAAATAAAATAAATGTTTGCTTTTAGGTTTAATACCACTTTAATGTCTATCTTTAGTTAATGAAATGAGTTAAAATGACTACATTTTGTGAATTTTTTTTTTTACCATAGCCCAGATAGTAAAAATAAAAATATCAGCATCAACCACATTCCCTCTTACATTTTCAATTATCCATTTATTCACCTCAAAGCTGTAATGTCAGTTTATTTATAGCAGAAATCTTTATGCAACTAGAACCCACACCGCTCTTACATTAACCTTCTTAGATAGCTGGCTTTCACTATCAAGGACCATTTAACCTAAACTGTCTGCATAGAACTTTATTGCATGGTAATGGCTGATGACTGTGTTTTATAAGAAGCCCTGGGCAAATTGGCACTGGAAGAATAAATGACAATTTCTGTTTACAGCTATCTGTTTATCTTTAGAGGAGAAAATAAAAATCATCCCTATAGTTTAGATGTCATTCAGTGTAATCACCACAGGATGATCTGCGAGCTGCCGCCCAATTAAATTAGCCATGTTCAAAAACTCATTAACGCTTTTTCAGCTTAAAGAATAAGTGTACTTTCAGGCAAAAGGAACTTATTCTTTTTGCCCCTTTGCCTTGACCTAACGAATCTGTCCCTCTCCCTCTGCAGATGCATACTTACCAATATCCAACACCCACAGCTTCTTGTGTTTGTTGACATCCACCATCAAAAGTCCTCCCTTCCTGGCCACATCTGAGCAGTGGAGCCTCATAGACTTGTATTGGGCTCATCTACTTCCATCTTTTGACTGTGAGACGCAGGAAAGAACATCTGATAGGGTTGACTTGGTCAAAGAACATCTGATAATTTGCACTATAGAATTTTCTATAGATTATTTGGATTAAAATAAACTCATACAAATTTTTTAGCAATACTGATAATAGTTGTTTAACCACTAGCCTACAGGGCACTTATACCCCCTTCCTGTCCAGGCCAATTTCCAGCTTTCAGTGCTGTTGCACTTTGAATGACAATTGCACGGTCATGCAACACTGTACCCATATGACATTTCTATCATTTTTTTGTGTGACAGATAGAGCTTTATTTTGGTGGTATATTAATCACTCCTCTGGGTTTTTTATTTTTTCTTAAACAAACCAAAAGCCACTGAAAATTTTGAAAAAAAAAGTTTTTTCTTAGTTTTTGTTATAAAATTTTGTAAATAAGTGATTTTTCTCCTTCACTGATTTGCGCTAATGAGGCTGCAGTGATGGGCACTGATAGGCTGCACTGATGGACACTGATAGGTGGCACTGATGGGCACTGATGAAGAGGCACTGGTAGGTGGTACTGATGAGCATTGACAGGCATCACTGATGGGCACTGAAAGTCAGCACTTATATATGGCACTGATAGGTGGCAATGATAGGTGGCACTGATAGGTTGCACTGACTGGCACTGATAGGCAGCACTGACTGGCACTGATAGGTGGCACTGACTGGCACTGTTAGGTGGCACTGATAGGCAGCACTGATGGGCACTGATATGCGGCACTGATGCACACTGATAGGCGGCACTGACTGGCACTGATAGTTGGTACTGATTGGCACCGATGGGTGACACTGAAAGGCAGCTCAGATGGGAACTGATATGTGGCATTGATGTGGCACTGAAATGTGGCACTGATGAGGCACAGATGGGCACTGGCAGGTGGCATGGATGAGCACTGACACATGGCACTAATGGACACTGACAGGTGGTGCTGCTGAGGCTACACAGATCATCAGGGCTCACTGATCATCAGTGCTCTGATGATCTGTGTACATGTCCCCTCCGAGGAATGCCGATTACCGTCTCTCCTCTCCTCTCCTCTCGAGCTGTCAGCGTGACAGCTCGTGAGGAGAGAAATGCCAATAACTAGCATTTCACTGTTTACATGTGATCAGCTGTGATTGGACACACCTGATCACATGACCGAGCCCACATCTTCAGCTCTTTCTGTGGATCGGTGATCCGCTGTGTCCGCGGGACACAGCACACCGCCGATCGCCACGCTGCGCACTCCAGGAGCCACGCATGCGCGGTTAGAATAAGAGGATGTCATATGACGTCCTCCCAGAACGAGAGAACCACCTTGTGTCTATCATATTATGGTTAGAAGCAATTGTTTCTCAATATTAAAATATATCTTATGACAAAACACAATTTTTTGCATTTTCAGTACAATAGGGAATGGTTAACAAACAATTCCTAAACACAGCAGAGAATTAAAGGAAAGTTCTCCAAACTGAGGAACATTGTCTTATTTATTTGTAAATGGGACAAGTGCTTCCAAAAGTGAGATTATTTCCACTATTCCTGGTTTGGAAACAGTGCAAGTTTTTGAATTTTCCCTTACTTTCAGCCTGGGTGACAGTGGTCACAGGACAAATAAAAGAAAGTCAACATCATGGGTTCAAACACCTCATCACTCTCTCCAAAAATGATTATATATGTACTTAATAGTGTTTAAAAATAAAACCTTTATATTGTTTAACAATGTTAAAGTGGACCTTTAGCTAAAAAATGTTAACTCTAGGTGCAGTAAAGAAGGTTTTCAACCACTGTGAGGTTTTTGTTGCTGTTACCTTTAGAGAGAATTTTGCCATTGGATATGAAATTTGGGCAAATCTTTTTTATAGAGATACAAAAGATACGTGTTTGTTTTATTGCTGACTTTTAATGATATTGAAATATAACAAGGGTTTCTGTGTTACAGATTAGATGTTGAATTGTAAAACAGCTCACACTTTCAGGTTATGCTATAGGTTAACATATCAAACCAATATTTCAGTTTTGAGTAGACAGCTGCAGGTTAAATCACACAGTTACTTTAGTTATAGAGAGGTTCAAGTGAAGAGAACTTTTCACTTAAAGAAACATAAGAAAAACTTAAAAAAGAATATGCAATTCAGAAGAAAAGAGGTGAAAGAAAAGTTGTAAGCCCTTATCTACATACTTATTCTGAGTTGGTGACTCAAACTATTGAAGCATGAGAGCAAATGTGACGGTCATACAGCTCGTATGTTACAACAAAAGAAGAGTCAGGTTTTCTTATGTTCCCAGGTCTACCAAAGCCTTGATAGATGCTGCACAACATGTATACTTTAGTACCTCCTCATTAAAAACACACCTTACACAAAATCCAAAAGGCTCCAACCATATATAACAAATTGCTCCCTAGTAGAGCTACGGCTAAACTAGTTCTAAAAAGCTATGTATCTAGACAATTGGCATATTCTCATATTTTTAAAGAAAATAAACTTTACGTTTTTTTTCACTGACATTTCTGAATATAGCATACAATGAATAAACATTGACAAGCCAGTGGTGAGCAGTGAAAACACGTTTCACGGTGATAATTCTCTAGTGAGGTGTTTAATAAACCCTTATAATATCTTCTCTTCATTGTCAATTCTCCGGGAATAAGAACAGAGAAAGTAATAGGAATGTACTGGCCTAATAAACAGCATGAAAAAAGCCAATAATTTACACATTATCAAGCATAACTGCAGGATTATGTATAATCTAATATGGTATTTTGCAGCATGAAGCACCTCTTCACTTGACCTTGATTCATTATCACTATAGGACTGTTTTTAAACGCAGAGATGCATAAGGAAAGATTCCTGACACATTTATTATTGCCACTTGCAACTGCCACACCAATGAAGGGTCTGTTCATGAAAACGCATTGGTGAGTGTTGTGCATGCACCCTGTGATATATTGATTTAATGCATTACAGTTATTTTATTTTTACAAAGCTAAAGCTTCATTGAACAGTTGCTTTATGCTGATGCAGATAGTAATACTTTTTTTATGTGTTGTGTTGCATTAAAATGTGGCATACCTACATTTCAGCCCGACTCACGCCAATGCAATAATTTGGTGTGAATAAGGGACATAGGAAATTGTTGTTTTTGCTGTGTCCTTGTGTCAAGTCAATGCAGCTCAATAGTTAGCTAGTGTGAATGAGCCCTTAAGTTTTAGGCCCCATTCACTTGGACATTATCAGTCTGATCTAGACCCTTTCAGCAGAAGAATGGATGAGCTTGATCCCCTCCTGAGACAGATTTAAATGGAAATGGATTTCACATGTGTGACATCCATTTATATTACATTTATAATCTTCAGAGGGAAAAAATATACTGATTGTCATATATTTACCTCTAAGCATAAAATTAAAGGATGCAGAAGTTAACACAGAAGTATTCTCTCAATAAAAAAAAATAAAAAAAACCTCAAATGTTTTATTAAAGTTAAAGTAAGAGCTGCATCATAACTCTTAACAAATCTTCTGCTGAAGTCCACACTGAAACTGACCATTTTGGGATTGCTAATCTCCTGTTTGTCACAGCTCTCACTGATCCCTACCTCTGACCCTCTACCCATAATAGAGCACAGTAGTAATGTGGAGGTCAGCAGGAGAAATCAGTGAAGCTGTAGGGTGACTCAAGAGACCAATACTCCTGAAAGTGTTGGTCTCAGTACATGCTTTACAGACAATGTATTGCCATCAGTGAGACATTTGCAATTCAGGCAGCTGAAAAAGGTGAGTATGTACACTTTCTTTTTACAGGTTAGTTTGATTTAAATATTTTTGTATAGCAACAAGGTCCATTTTAAAAATGCACATTTTATAAAAACAATATAATTAGGGCTATAGGCAAAACAGTTGAAACACTGATGAAGGTGTATGCAGAAACAGGTGCACTAAAGGCCTTCACAGAAGGCTTGGGGAGAGGGATATGTAATGGTCATCAGAAGGAGAAATACAAATGAAGGGATGGATTTAATTAGGGACTCACAATCTACTCTCCCTCATTTTAATGCAATGCAGCAAGAAGCAAAATCATTTCACTCAATGCACTTTCCCTGCATCAAATACTGATCAGTAGAGTAGGCAATGTACTGATTGGCACTTCATACAGAAAAAGGAATCAGTTTAGTAGGCATGCCCAGTGAGCACAATATTTTATATATGCAGGGTTTAAAATTGACAATAAATGATAAAATGTTATTCTAACCTTAGTCCATAAGCTAATAAAAATGAAAAAATTCCAGATCCAGAAGAGTTGTCAGTGTGTGTTGTGAAATGACTGAAACATTTACATTGCAAAGAGTGCAATACCTCTAGGCTAACTGAATGTCATCAGTCTCTGGATATGTTAGTAGAAAGAGTTTGTTGAACATTATATTTGCTTCTGGAAAGGCTTAAAAGGCAGCATTGCAAATGTGGTTAGATAGAATGTCATAACTGCTATATATAATGCAAATCATTTGATGATTGCACACTATTTTGTTCACTGAAATTCAAGCGCAATTTAACCACCAAAGGAAAGAGCAGAAAATCACTTCATAATATTCAATGTTAAGACAGGCAACAATAAAAGTAAAATCCGAATACCATGAAATAGAAAATATATTTTGATATACTATGAACAAGAATAAAGCAGGTTAAGTTCCCGGGGTAAAACATACAAGCAGTAGATTATTTAGAAATGCCATGGTTCCAAGATCAAAGACTAGGATGCATAAGCATACCATCACAGACTACTGTATTTGATATAGAAACTGTACAATTTTCCTTCCTTTTTGAGCTCTGATATATGATACTATTTAACCTGTATTGCTAGGCTGCATCTGTACTATAAACTAGAATAAGTGGATGTAAATTTTGTCCCTCGTATTTTTTTTATTTTTCTTGAAGAAAGTGAGATATGTAAATGCTTTCTGTTTTAGGAAGACGTTACTGTGCTTCTCAATTGTTTGGTTCCTCTAGCCCACCTCACCCATATTATAATGATTTAAGATTTTTACGCATCCAACTAAACTAAAACTGATAGTAACTTGGTTGCTGACTTTATCAAATGAGAAAAAGTATAGGTGTTTTAGGGGGCCAAATAATAGCAGAACACATTTTGAAAATTTGTCTAATAGGGGCAAATGACCAGATCACTTGCATATTAACCAAATACTTATATAAATAATGCTGCCTTCTAAGGGAATTGAATGTTATTATAAAATGCTTTAATAAACAATAAATAACAGTTTGATTTGTGTTTCCACATATATCAGAGGCATTGGTTATAACCATGCTTTTATTATAGATGCTATTATAATTCTTCTAGGTTGACACAGCTTTTTTTGGTGCTTACTAATAACACCTATACCTGTTTTTAAGCCTTAACCTTCTGTTTAGATTAGATTTGTTTATGCTTTTTTTGTTTTTATGCTTTATTTTTGCTACCTATAGTACCTGTTGTTATATCTTAGTATACCTTTGCCTTGGTAATATCTATGATTCCTGTGGTAATGTATTTACTTTACAGTATTTTACTACTAGACCTCAAAGGAAGTGTACATACTCACATGATGTTAAACAGCACTTACAGTACTTATTTGATAAACAGGAATCATTTATTATTAGATGTACTGGAGTTTATTTTCTAAAGGCAAATAGGCTCTTCACTTTGCAAGGATATTTTTACTTTACCACAATAAATGTGTTAACATTTGAAAACAGTGCCCAAACATGTGCAAGAAAAAAAAAAGAAGAAAAATATATTTTTGCTTGCACAATATTGACTAAGCTAAGAGAAAACTCCCTTGTAAACTGAGCAGCCGATTTGCATTTAGTAAATAAACCCCAATGCCCCAATGGTTTAATAAGAAAAGCCTAATGGTTTAAAGAAATATTTTTCTCTTTGAAACAGAATAACATTATATTAGATTTAGCAAAGCTTTCAACTGCATTTTTTAATTTTACATCACCATACTACAGTTTGTTTCTATAAAGATATTCATACCATCATTTTATTACTCATCTAATGTTATTTCCTACATGTGTAGCATACACATGGTAGAATTAACCTTTTTAAATCTTTTGCCATTCACAGTTACCATCACAAGGAACCTCAGAAGGT